GAGGGAGAGAGAGAGAGAGAGAGAGAGAGAGAGAGCGCGCACTTCTGTTGTGTGATCTTTATTGATGTTCGCTCGCTTAGCACGCATCATTTGGATTACAACTAAATCGTAAATATAAGACAATTTATAGGGGCATTCACTATAAACGTCATTTATTTTCACTCTTAAGCATACACGACTTTCTGGCGAAAGTGAAACTAACAGCCTGTGTGAAATGTGCTAGGCTGTACTGTACTTGTTCTGACACAGTTTAACTCTGAGTTCTTGTCATATTTTATTACCATTTTCTAAACTATAGCGAATAAACTGTGATAATGTGAGAAATGTTGAAGGTGTCTGAATAAATTTTGGTTTGACTGTATCTATTTGATAAATGAAGTTAACCAACTAACATTATACATACTCTTTTGGTTTCTGTACCCAATATTTAAAAAATTGACAAATGCAATGAAAATATTGGTATCGGTACTTGGTATAGGCAAGTACCAAAAATAAAAGTATCAGTATTGGGCGAGTACTGGAAAAAGTGGTATCGGTGCATCCCTAATTATTATGGTGGTTGTCAGTATATGTTAAAGGTACAAAACACATTTTCTTGTTTGTAAATTACAGTTTTATACTGTAAAATTTACAATTTGTTCTGTAAATGTGTTTACAGTTTTTCTGTATTTCTTTACAAAATAATTTTGTAAAAAACTACAGAATTGTGTAGGAAAATAGGAGCTTCTATGAAAATAAATTAAGTAATCAATAACATTATAGTAATGCACTGTCCGCAGTCAGTCATGATTAAAGGAACAGTTCACCCAAAAATTTACATTTTGTCATCATTTACTCACCTTTATGTTGTTCCAAACCTGTATAAATTTCTTTCTTATGTTGAACACAAAACAAGATATTTTGAAGAATTTTGAAGAACCAAATAGTTGTTGGTCCCATTGACCTCCGTAGCATGGAAGTCAATGGGGACCATCAACTGTTTGATTACCAGCATATCTTCTTTTATGTTCAACATAAGAAAGAAATTAATACAGGTTTGGAATGACATGGGGGTGAGTAAATGATGACTAAATTTTCATTTTTGGGTGAACTATCCCTTTTATGTGATTTCATGAGTGAAAGACTCTTATAACAGCCAGGATACCATGATAAAGTGTATTGGAGAGTAGCATTCTGCTGGTCATGTGACCAACAACATGGCCGCCCCATGAGCCAATCGCTCAACACAAAATAAATCAGCTTTAGGCTCCTAAATACAATTTAGGATACAAATGCAGAATGGTTTGTTTGGCCTTTCAACACATATAATTTGTTACTTATTTTAGCCTAGCCACAATTAATTGTCCTAGGTTTGTCCTGTCTACTTGTCTATCAAAACTAGCAGCAGACAGCCATTCTGTAAATCTTTAAACCAGTTAACTTCACACAAACCCTCTCTACTTACACAACACGCACTCATTACTCCGACATCAGTACAAACACAGAAGGACAAGAATGGCTACCTGGCAAAATGATGCATGGAACGTGAGCTGGTGGGAGAAAAAAAAAATATCAGCAAAACAATTTAAAAAGTGCATATGCTACGCAACTCCTGATATTACCATCTAATCCCACTACACCACACGAAAGCTGAATTCTCAGCCGGTTCTCTATCAAAACATCACTCCTGAGCGAGACATGGACCATTGCGCAAAATTAGCCGTCACCCTTTCCTCAAAATCTTTGTTAATCTCGTTTCCAGTGTTTGTGGATTTATCAGCACATGCATCAATGTCAGCTCCTTGGTTACTGAGGCGCACTACACGGGAGAAGATATAATTAAAACTGTTTGGGTGCCGAGCGAGGGGAGGGGTGAGGGTGGGTGGGCGGCAATGCAACATTGACGTCTTGTTTGCTTCGTCTTCGTCTCCTTACCCCCTGAGAGTCGCGCACGCATACAGCCGACGATAACAAATACACTGGTAGGATGAATTCGCTAGCTCTGACATCTCAGGTCAGCGAGTGGCAGCACTTTAATGATGGAAGTTTATGCGAGAGTCCATCCTGTGCTTCGGTTCAGCCTTTAAATATCTATAGAAAAACAACATTTCTAGTACAGCCATCAAACTGACCATGAGATGTCTCATTATTGTGTTAGAAAATGTAGCAGAGCAAAAAAAAAGGCACAGAAAAGTGAATAAACATATAAACCCACACCTATAAACAAACATATTGACTACAAAACAACTCTCTTCAGACAAGTCCATAGCATCGAAACAATAATAGTTCCGTAGTATCTGTGGCATTCACAAATACGCGGTCTGCAGCTATTTAAACTCTGTGCTTCCCTCCCAGCCTCCACTAACCAGCAATTGTGTCTTTTCTTTCTATTTCTAGTACCTGCCAAAGAGTGCACACATTAACAATTCAAAACCCCCAGTCTTCAGTTTCTGCCGTTGGGACCAGGAGAATGAAATGTCCCAGAGAGTCCTCCCTGAATGTGGCCACAGCAGCACACAGACCCGGTGGCTCAATGACACCTTGCCAGACAGTATACATGATCACAAGAGACAGAAACTGAAAAATAGACTCGTATGTAAAATACATTCAGCTGTGGATGGGGGGAGAAAAAGTTCAGCATACACTGAGACAAGCTCCCCAGAGAAACTCGAACATGAGTGTTTGCGAGAGAGAACTCGTTTTTAAGTTACACTTACACTCATACAATAACATTCAAAGAAACTCGGCATGCTTATGTTGAATATGTAGTAAAGAAAGATAAATAATATTCCAAGGTTGTGTATAACTCCTCATATTTGCTAAAAGATGCTGTTGACTGGCACAGGAAATCATGTGAATGCCTTCGAAAATTTAAAAGTAAAGATTTATAAATGAAAATTAAACATTCTGATTTTAAAACTGTCACTCTGCTGCGTCATTTTCAATCATTAAACTTGTTTGAAAAAACTCAATTGCTCTCTAACAAGGTTAAGCCGTAGGTTTTGGGGACAGAAATTCTTTAAAATAAATAAACAGACAAACACAAAATACAAAAGTCAATTTAAAGGTGCAAATTTCACCTTTCAACACTCTCATAAATTAGGAGGAATTAATTAAAGAGGCAGAATTTTTAAGGAATTTTCTATTTAAAATCATGCAAGAGAACACAGAAGTCCCTCTAACTCACTCATTTACATCAATGCACTTACTATTGAAATGTGAAAGTTGGACTACTTTTCTAGGTGGATGGACTTGAGACTTTTGCATTACCAACTAATTCCTCTTCCATCATATCTGTTCTTGGTGTCGTTTTGTGAATATTGTTAAAAGACTCTTAACTTCAATCATGCCAGTCTCATGCTAACACATTTGTACCCATCACCATTCCATTTTTCCCCCATTTTAGACAAGTGAAAATAATTTTCTGTGGTAATCGACAGCATTGAGTCGCAACATTCCTTTAAGTGTTCACCTTCAACAAAGAGAAGCACCGGCCTCTGTCACGCTAAGCCGGTAAGTGAGTTAACAGCATGCACTTGAGGCATCTTTTTCTTCCTCAACACTCCTCTTCCTCTTTCAGATCTGAGCGCACAGACTCCTCTCTCTCAGTACAGCCAATAATCAATGCCATTTCAGGTCAACCCTCCGCCGAGCCTCTGACCAGACCTCTCGCTTTCATTCCCTGCCGGCTGGGTACGGCAAGGCTCATTAAAAGTTCAGAGTGGCTTACTTGCTGAAACATTCATCAGCTCTAAATAAACAAGCTCTTTGGAGGGCAGGACAGCTTCTTTGGCTGCAGCGGCTAGACTCTGCAGAGTTTTAATTAAATTGGCAGGCCAGGCAGCGGTAGAGCGGGAGGCCATGCAGAGGCCGTCGCGTGAGGGCAGGCGCTGCGATCTTTGGCCCGTTCTGAGCGCACAGACTCCTCTCTCTCAGTACAGCCAATAATCAATGCCATTTCAGGTCAACCCTCCGCCGAGCCTCTGACCAGACCTCTCGCTTTCATTCCCTGCCGGCTGGGTACGGCAAGGCTCATTAAAAGTTCAGAGTGGCTTACTTGCTGAAGCATTCATCAGCTCTAAATAAACAAGCTCTTTGGAGGGCAGGACAGCTTCTTTGGCTGCAGCGGCTAGACTCTGCAGAGCTTTAATTAAATTGGCAGGCCAGGCAGTGGCAGAGCGGGAGGCCACGCAGAGGCCATTGCGCGAGGGCAGGCGTTGCGATTTTTGGCCAGTCGAGGCCCTAAGATCTCACATTCGCCGACAGAGATCTCAGGAATCACTCTTTTCCTGTTTCCGTCCATCTCTCGGTGATGAAGGAGGACAGAGCTTTAAGTGTAAGTCGCCGGTGTGGCGGGTCACTTATTCCCCTCTTCATTAGCGAGAAAATGGACTCTCGTAAACGCTTGTTAAAATCCCTACCTACACACCCCCGGTTAATGCCGGCCATCCATTTGTGTCCGTTTTAGCCGCCTGACAACGCTTTACGGGAAGATTAATTATCCTGTGTCAGGCGACGACCAACCCCTGTCTCTCTCTCATTTCCTTTCTTCTTGGCCACAGATGCAATAATGGAGCCTGTCTTTGTCGTAACAGTGTGATTAGCGCCTAAGAAAGAAAAAAAATAAAGAGGGTGAAAGAATAGGAGAAAAGAAGAGAGGGGACAATGGGAAAAAAGGAACACTGCACTTCACAACTTTACACAAACGTAGATTGGGACCTGTGAATCCGAAACACTTGATGACATGAAGTGGGGTTATTAATTAATGAGGGGGGAGAGAAAATGTAATGAATGGCTTATTAATATCGGCCATTTCTTTATTTTTCTCAAACGACACATTATTTCCCCATTTGTCGAGACGGACGGGGGGAGCGGCGGACCCTGGGTGCGTTCCGTCATCTTGGGCCCTCTGGCCATCCCTCTTGCTTATAGAAGTGACAATGTAAAGTGCTCGTCTCACTCCCTGAGCCGAATATAATGGCTGCTCATTACCTGGCCATTCCCAGACACGGCCTCGCTCCGAAGCGATGAAACGCAAGCCTCGCACAGCCTTTCAGAAGCAGGGGAGTTGCCCATGAGAGTTTGATTGAGGACAAAATACCCCTCTTTTATTCTTGTCTATTTCTCCACTCTTTCTTTCCCAGCCTGATTACTCCGAGGGAAGCCCGACTCACAGGCATTCCCCTTTTCCAGCACGTCCCCCCACCACCCCCGAACAAAAAGAAAAAACGAGCCAGAGGGGCACTGAAGGAGGAAGGAGGGGGGCCGCTGAGTGACTGGGTGCTGTCTCATTAAAAGCTGGCGATTGTCTAATTGTCTCAAGCGGACCTCCGAGAGACTAGTATATTATACTCATCGCAATTAACCAAACAAAAGAGTTTAACCGCCCAGGCACTGGGGCCTAGGCAGAGACACGAAAGAGAAGAAGGTATTCCGGCACGGCTGCGAAATGAGGGGAGGGGCCCAATTTGGGTCTTCAGACGGGAGGGGGACGTGGCCCTGATTGGCCAGATGTCTCGAGGAGATGGCTACGAGGAGCGGCTGGCCCACAGAGAAGGGGCGGGGGGTGGTTCTCGCTCGGGCCGCAAGCATGTGCTCATTTGCGGCGCACCTTTGTGTCGGACCTGTCTGTTTACAGCTCAGGCATGGGCCTAAACACTCCCAGCCTCCATTCACACCACTCGCCTTTCAGCCCTCACAGAAGCAGCCCCTTAAACCCACTTCACTACCATTTTCCCTCTCTCTCCCATCTACTTTTTGTCCTCTCTTCCATTACATCAAACGCAGGAACAAAGGCCGCAGAACAGAAACCTCGGCCGCAGAATAGACCCATCACAAATATTAATTTGAAAAGGTGTTGAAGTGCAGAATCTACTTTTATGCACAAGGACAACTTGGGATCTCTTTTTTCCCTCGTTCCCCCCACCCTCCCGCTCTCTTCTTCAGCGGGGGGATTCCTTATGAGCTGCAATGAGCTTGGTTTTCAGCTGCGAAAGAAGAGGCAAAGAGGCTGGGAGTGCAATTATCCATCAGCAAAGGCTTCGGATTCAGACGGGCTAAAGACTCCACACTGGCCATTATGAGAGAGGGAGCTGTGAGGCTGCATTCACTCCTGCACATCTATTAAAGTGCAGAGGACAGACACTCTCGCACACACACCGTCCCACATACAAACTCACTATTGGACATGCTACCATTTGACAAAAAGCAAAAAAGACAAATGACAACAAATGTTATCGTATAACCAAATATACGCTCTTTTTTTTCATCAGAAATGTCTAAACAACCCCGTTTCAACAAGATAAATTTACCTGAGAAGTGAAGACTTGCTTTCAGACCATGTATCATGAATTAACTTTTCTTACTCAACTGGCAAATAGGTGAATATGTTATAATTAGATTCAATTTATTAACATTATAACTTGAAATGCTAAAAAAAGATTTTTATATGATTAATAAATCTAATAAATGCTCTAAAGGTATTGCTCTCTTACTTCATTTATTTTAACTGTAAACATTACCACAAATATTAAGTGCAAAACGTTCCTTTTTTATAGTGTAAACCTTACAGATTTGTTAGATTTTATAGATATAAAATATGTGAAAAGCATAAGACTGCATTGGATATCAAGATATCAAAACTTTACTGAAACACTTAGAAAGCAAGTAAAGAATGGGGTACTTTTAGGTTAGTTTTATAGCACTTTTGCATTCCTTTTTGCTTGAAAAGCTTGAAAGCTAGTCACCATAAACTTGGAAAAGTGCGACCAGCACAATATTAAAACCTTTCCTTTTGTGTTGTAGAGAAAAAAAAAATCAAATCAAATGGGTTTGGAACTACATGACAGTGAGTAAATGATGACAAATGTGTTTTTTTAGGTGAACGATCCCTTAAAGAATGAGAATTATCTATTTAAACTCATGCAATATTTATCCAGGTGCTGTGGATGATAATGCAAAAGGGAATTTAAAGCCATTGGATTAGGTAATTAAACCCACCCCAACGTCTTTGTGTAAGATGTTGTTTCCGATCGGTTGAATGTCTAAACTGGCAGAGGGCGAGAGATACAGAGTTGAAAAGTTGAATCTGCCTGTGAGAACTGTCATTTGTGTAGCTCATGTTCTCAGGGTCAAGCTAGCTCATCATCCATAGAGAGGATTTTCTCAAGGAAGGGAAATAAGGCTGGTCAGTATAATAATCATGTGGAGTCACTCAATGAGAATGTGTATCTTAGGTTTGTCTTTCTTTCTCTCTCTCTTTTTACACTATTATCCTCCTGCTAAAGCACTAATTAAATGAATCTAACAACAAAAATGGAAAATTTCGCCCATGTCAATCCAACGACCAGTAATAGTGCTCAGAATCCATGTACTTCTCCAGCTTAAACACAAGATGATAAATCATTTTCTTATAATCTAGATCCTGCTTTGTAATGCTGTACACGTGGAGTGCATGGAGCTCCAGATTTCTGATCGAAAACAGAACTGCCACAGCTAAGATCAAACCATCTCTGTGTGTTGGCAGCCCCAATAGCTGGGGCCCCTCCACAGGACCCAACCTCCAAGCACTGATCTCTGGGGCACGACAAAACAGCCAGCAGGGATCTCCATCTTATTCAAAGCATTAACCATCCCTCTATCCCTCCCTCTCTTCTTTTCAAACACATATACACATACAATTAATGGTAATCTGCTTAGTCCGGTAGATCGGGGTGGGTTTGCTAACATTTGCGGCAAACAGTTCTTTTTGAAGAGAAGCGAAAAGAAGGAAAGGCGGTTGAGGTCTCCAGGTGTCCAGTAATAGTCCGTAGAATTGGTTATTATTTGCCTCAGCCGCACGCTAAGACTTAAATATTTCACACACTATATTTGTTCGGTGTCCAGAGAGGCCGAAATAAGAGGGAGAAAAGAGGAAACACAGAAAGCAAAACTATCACTGCCTTCAGGATTCATCAAAGAGCAGAATGATGTGAGAGACAAAGGAGAAATTAAATATACACAGTAAAAAATAAGTGTAATTTTAACTGTAAAACTTTGTAAAAACACTACGGAAAAAAACTGTTAATAGGTTAACAGTAAGTTCCCGTACTATATACAGGGAAAAACGGTAACATATCTAACCAGAAATTTCATGTAATTTTACAGTAAAATGCTGTTAATTTTACAGTTTTTAGAAGTAAAAATAACAAATCAATGTATAATTTACAGTCAAAAACTGTAAACTGATATTCCCAGAATTCCCTGCATGACACTCCACATTTGAAAGTATTTTGTTTAAATAATCATGTTTTTTTAATAGTTTTTGTTATTAG